ATCTTTTAAAAAAGAAAGAAGTCTTATGAAGGAAAACCATCAGCCAGTGGTGCTTACATACCTTACAGGTAGTGATAAGATTTTGGGAAATGCAGTTTTCTTGGCAAACTGCATTTGCCAATTTTTGAAAAACAGAAACTGTTGTGTATTTTACAGATAGCAAATCAACTTAAGTCAATTCTAAAATGCTACCATCATTTTTACTATCCTCAAATCCAAAGTTCCCTCTAGACAAATGTACAATGTTTGGTAGTTATTCTATCTGCTTTTATACTAACTATACAAAATTTTAATGCTATATCTTCTATGTTCATTTGTAAAACAAAACAATAGATTTTTATATAGGTTTCTGGCTAAAACTGAAGCATATGAATACACAGATTTTTGTCTATGATTAAGAAATTTTCAAAAAGGGTGCCTGGGTGGCTCAGTTGGTTAAGCGACTGCCTTCGGCTCAGGTCATGATCCTGGAGTCCCGGGATCGAGTCCCGCATAGGGCTTCCTGCTCAGCGGGGAGTCTGCTTCTCCCTCTGACCCTCTTCCCTCTCGTGCTTTCTATCTCTCATTCTCTCTCTCTCTCAAATAAATAAATAAATCTTTAAAAAAAAAAAAAAGAAATTTTCAAAAATTAGATTTTCCCTTCAAGTATTTCCAAATTAAAATTATAAATCAGTAAAAATGAACCATGTGGAAATAATGTGAGCATTTGAAGGGCTCTTTTCTGCTATTTTATCAAATTACTGGCACATTGAACTTCCTAGACAAAAATACTCAAAATAACTATGTTCACAGCAGGATTAAAGATTGAATCATCCCTAACAATTTCCGCTACCAAAAAGGGGCAACTGAGAAACATTTAGATTAATGCACCATCAAAAAAATGAAAAAAAAATGCTTACAAAAATGTTTTGCTGGACAAAGTAGTTATGTTTTGAGGGAACATAAAGGTATCACTTTCATGCCTTTAACCTTCTAGGCCCTTGACTGCAGAGAAAAAAAAATCTCCCTATAAGTTTACTTTTGTTATTGAAATATTTTTCAATAGGTGCTACAAAAATATAATTGTTGATTGTTCTGTCCTGTGCCTCATTTTTGCCTTTCTTAAGGAATGTTCTTAGCTACCTCTAGGAAGGTAGCTAAGATAGACAAATAGGAATGGGGAAGAAATATTTAAAAAACAAGCATAATGAGAACTATCATGCCATGGAGTAAAGAGCTATTTGGGGCCAGATCATGACCATCCAAGACCAAGAATAATCATTATTTTGTTAGGTAGAGAAGGGAGTTTATGAGAAGGGTGATTTTGCCAGATCGGTAGAAGACAAATCCTCTGGACTGACCTGAAGAGAGAATGAAGGGAAGGAACTGTAAGGATGCTCCTAGAATAGCTCCCTGGGTATCAGTCAGGTCCTGGCTGGAAACAGATAGCAGTCAAACTGGGTAATTTAACAAAGATCAACAAAAGGAATATTACAAAGATGTGAGCATGGATTAAGGAAACTCACAAAGAGTAGTGACACAACAGCAAGAGCCATACCAACCTCTAGGCCTGCAGGAACCAGGGAAGCAATTAGAGGAGCTAAGAGAGTATGTGTGGCTAAATGGAAAGATCTGCCTGATTGGAGCTACGGCCTTTTAGAGGAACCAGCCAACCCATGACAATCTGCAGAGGGCTAGGGGCATACATGCCCTCACCTTAAACTCTTTACACCCTCTGATCTTCTGTCATTGCTTCCTGCTAACCACAACCAGCTGGAAGCCAGGGGCAAATAGCAGAGTAGAGAGAGGATCTGGAGAAGTAGATGGAAGAGACCCAGTCTAGGGATAAGGTAGTGACAGTGGGAATGAAAAGGATACAATACAAGAACACATTTAACAGAAATTTTAGACTGACTGGATTTGGAGTTTAGAAAAGTCAAGGATGACATCATAGTCTCAGGCCAGAGTAACTAGACTAGAATGATGATAACATCAACTGAGACTGTTTTTACTAACCATTGCATTCCCAAAGTCCAGCATAGTACCTTGAGCATGAAAGACCTTCCATAAACTTTTATTGGGGAAAAAAAAATGTGGATGAATGGATAACGGAAGAAGCAAATTTTCAGGAAGATTATGTGTAAAAGTCTTAGTCTTAGGCATACTGACTTTAGAGTATTGTGGAAGAGCCCACCAAGTGGTTGGAGATTTCAGTCTGGAGCTCTGAAAAGGAAAGGAATAAAGATGTACCTCTGAGACCCATCTGCACAAAAGTGGCAGCTGACAGAATGAGAGTGGATGAAATGGCATAGAAAGCGGGTATAAAGAGAAAAGCAGAGTCTGATGACCAAATATGGGATCTGTCTGTATTATGGGACAAAAGAAGATAGGGAAACCAGCAAAGAGAAAAAACAAAGGGAAAAAAACAAAACAAAAGATGTGCAACCATTTGCTGTACTGTTAAAATATATTCACATATATTTGTACATCTTTTGTAGGCTTTCTTTTTCTTGACACTGCAAAATCTTGCCTAACATAAAGATGATACAAATGCAAGCTGGAGACTACCACTCACCTACTTGCCTAAGATTTTTTTTAAGCCACAAATCCCAATTTTACTAATCTTGTTCACCTTGAATCTAACAGCCAACATTAATCCTTTTTTCAGTTTAGAAAAGTCTATTTAACAGGTTTATTCATTCAATTATGTATTGAATACCTATTATAAATCCAGAATTATCACTGGCAAAGTGAAAGTAAAAATCAGTCTCCCAGCATAAGGAAATTAAAGTGAGAATTCACTGATTACTGTTTAACACCTTTTGACACTTGCTTTTTCTCTAACTCTGAAAATTGAAAGAGAAGCTAAAACCTACAAACGTGTCCTTCCTATCAAAAGTCCAAACATGCCCTGTTGTAAATTTTTCTTAACCCTTCTTTCTTCCCTACTGTTCCACACAGTCTCAATAATCTTCGTGTCTAATGTCTGGAATATGGCAATCATTCAAATGTTTGTTGAATGAATGAATGGGAAGCTAAGCCAAGCCCAGCACAGCCGTATCAATGTCTCTAACACTCTCCTATGGCAAATCACAAAACCTTTTAAGGGTCAAGGCTAGGTTTAAGGCCGTTATCTAAGGTGGCCTTTGACCTAGCCTTGACCTCCCAATATGAGTGGTATTAAAGACTTTGTGCTGAGTATTAAGACAAGGGCAGAAAAAAACCCGCAAATCCTAAAATGTTTTTTGTTTGTTTATAGCAGCTCTATTCATAACTGCAACCTAAAATGCTTTTAGAAAAGAGGAAAAAAGATTATAGCATACTGTCCGATGCATAAAATGTGCTCACTAAATGTTTGATGAGTGACTGAACAAAGGGAAGCTGAGGAAAGATAGTGAGCTCCAGAAACCAAACTCCGGCGGGTGGGGGGGGGGGTAAAGGGGGTGGGGAGGCAGGTACAGTAGATGGGACTGTGCCTAATGACCTCTCCAGCTGAAACTCAACTAAATCTATTTCCTAAGGGCTATTATATCCATTTCCATGGGTAATTTTCTAGCATAACCCCCTCTTCACTACTCCCAACTTCCCACTAAAAAACAAAACCAAACCTGTAAGCCATACAATCAGCCCTGTGCCTCCCAAACTTGATGTACATACTCATCACCCAAAGATCTTGTTAAAAATGAAGGTTCTGAATCATTACATCTGGGTTGAGGCCAGAGACACTGCAATTCTAACAACTTCTCAGGTGATGCTATACTACTGGTCAAAAGACCACACATGGGCGCCTGGGTGGCTCAGATGGTTAAGCGTCTGCCTTCGGCTCAGGTCATGATCCCAGGGTCCTGAGATCGAGTCCTGCATCAGGCTCTCTGCTCCTTGGGAGCCTGCTTCTCCCTCTGCTTCTCTCTCTCTCTCTCCTCCTCTGTCTCTCATGAATAAATAAATAAAATCTTTAAAAAAAAAAAAAAAAAAAGACCCCACATTTTGTGTCTCAAGGGCCTGAAAGACATTGCGGAGAATACGCCTATCGTCTTAAAGCGAGAGTTAAGATAATTCCTACTCCCACATTTCCTAGTTGTATAACCTTAGACAAGTCATTTTACTTCTCTGAGCCTCCTTTTGTGGAATATGATGATTAACAACTGCTAACACTTATTGAGTGCTTACTATGTACCAGGAACTAATGTTTCATATTTTCAACTTATGAATTGGACTTAGGTTAAAAAAACCTGTCCAAAGTAGGTACTGTAAAACTAGATGTGATTCTAGGTAGTTTGACCCAAGAACCTGGTGCATAATCACTGTATAAGACTGCCTCTTTAGCTTACTCCCAGGGCGATTAGAAAGGTTAATAATTGGTATTTAGCTAACATTTGTTGAGTGCTCCTATGTTCCAGACCAAGCTGCCTCAGAGGCATATTAACTCATTTATCCTTATAATAGCCCTAAATGGTAGGTACTATTACCACCGCATCTTACAGGTTTTTAATTAGGCCCAAATACCCGAAGGTCCAACAGAAGTCCGGATTGGAACTCAGGCAGTTTCACTGCAGACAGAGCCCAGCGCATATTTGCCACAAGCGTGGAGAGGATGCAATCCGGGGGCTCTGGGCTGCCAGACCTCAGCTCGCCCGGGGAGGGGGCGGGGGGAGCGCACCCCAGTGCCCACCTAAGGCAGTCTAACTGCCAGCCCCTGTTCGCTCACCAAGCAAACCAAATCTTCCACAACTAGCTTTATGTGCATCTGTGGAAAATGTCTCTCTCGGTCAACACCCAGGACCCCCATGAACAGGTTCAGGCTATGGTAAAAATAAAATTTATGTAGTCCCAGAAAGCTGAGAAGAGATACATCTTGTGAACTGATTTACACTGAAATTGGTAACAGTCGCTCCGGGACCCCCTCAAACCGCGACGCCCAAAATTCACACCACCCCGCTCCGCCGCTGCATCCTGGGAGACCCAGATCCAATTGGGCCCTGGAATTCGTAGTCTAGGCTCCTTGCGCTAGCACCGCCTACCTCTGGGCTCCCGCCAAAGAGCCTCCGGTAATCCCATCTGCTCTCCAACACTGCTCTCTGCCGGCCTCTTCTCGGGTTGCCGGGACTGTGAGCCTCTTCCGGGTGCTCCGGAAGCGAAGCTTTCTCTTCCGGAACGAGCTTCTCGGCGACCGCGCGTGGTTGCGTTCCCCGGGCTTGAGCCGGCGTTGGCAAAGCAGTAATTTGAACTGTCTACCCGGAGCGAATGAGCCCAGGAGGAGCCATGGAGGGCCAGAGCGTGGAGGAATTGCTGGCAAAGGCGGAGCGGGACGAGGCAGAGAAGCTGCAGCGCATCACGGTGCACAAAGAGCTGGAGCTGGAGTTCGACTTGGGTAACCTGCTGGCCTCAGACCGGAACCCCCCGACGGGCCTGCGGCGCGCGGGACCCACGCCGGAGGCTGAGCTGCAGGCCCTGGCGCGGGACAACACGCAGCTGCTCATCAACCAGCTGTGGCAGCTGCCCACGGAGCGCGTGGAGGAGGCGCTGGTGGCGCGGCTGCCAGAGCCCACCACTCGCCTGCCGCGCGAGAAGCCGGTGCCCCGGCCGCGGCCGCTTACTCGCTGGCAGCAGTTCGCACGCCTCAAGGGCATCCGTCCCAAGAAGAAGACCAATCTGGTGTGGGACGAGGTGAGTGGCCAGTGGCGACGCCGCTGGGGCTACCAGCGCGCCCGCGACGACACCAAGGAATGGTTGATCGAGGTGCCCGGCGGTGCCGACCCCTTAGAGGACCAGTTCGCCAAGCGGATCCAGGCTAAGAAGGAACGGGTGGCCAAGAATGAGTTGAACCGACTGCGTAACCTGGCTCGCGCGCACAAGATGCAGCTGCCCAGCGCGGCTGGCATGCATCCTACGGGACACCAGAGTAAGGAGGAATTGGGCCGCGCCATGCAGGTGGCCAAGGTCTCCACCGCCTCAGTGGGGCGTTTCCAGGAGCGCTTGCCCAAGGAGAAGGCCCCCCGGGGCTCCGGCAAGAAGAGGAAGTTTCAACCCCTTTTCGGGGACTTTGCAGCGGAGAAGAAGAGCCAGTTGGAGCTGCTGCGGGTGATGAAGAGCAAAAAGCCTCAGCTGGACGTGACAAGGGCCACCAATAAACAGATGAGGGAGGAGGACCAGGAGGAGGCTGCCAAGAGGAGGAAAATGAGCCAGAAGGGCAAGAGAAAGGGGGGCCGGCAGGGTCCTGGGGGCAAAAGGAAAGGTGTCCCGCCCAGCCGGGGAGGGAAGAGGAAAGCGGGCTTGGGAGGCAAGATGAATTCTGGGCCGCTTCCCTATGGCGGCAAGAGGAAAGGAGGGCAACACCAAGGAGGAAAGAGAAGGAAATAATTTTCACCCTCGGACCCGTCTGTAAACCAAGAACTATATACTAAATGTTAAATTCTAGTTACGGGGGGGCGGGGGGCTGTTGAAGAAGGGGGCCGCTGCCTTCACTGAGCTTGAGGTTGAAGGGATAGACTGCCGACCCCCAAGATAGTATGTAAATGTTGGACTCTACAAATTAATGTTTTTCCCACAACCAGGAATTTGGCTGGAGATTAAAGGATGTATTTGAGGACATAAGAATCCGGGAAAGAATTTGGTGGAAACTGAGAATGAGTTCTATTTTTAAACAGACATCTTTTTTTCTTTTTAACTTTGGATATATTGTGAGAGAGAGTTGGTCATCTTTCAGACTTAAAATTGATTTCTGCATTATTTTTATAACAAGGGAGTGTATCACATGGGGGAATGGAAAGATTACATTTTCAAAACTGGACTTATAAGTAACTCTTATGAAGGTTGTTTAATAAAAGTGTGTATCTACTGTTACTTTTGACATTTTGGCTATTGGTAGAAATTCTAAGTAAAGCCAGGGGATACCTGGTTCAGATTATTTTAGTTTACTTTCTAAAAAACATAAAGCAGGTAATTTATGATGATTTCAGTGATACCAACAGAAGTGTGAGTTTTTCTAATAAGTATCAGATATAATATGAAAGTGTAGTATGACTGGTGTCTCTGGAAAAAGATTTTATGCTTTTTAATACTGTGAAAACATTTACTGCCTGTAAATTATAAATGTGGGCTTCACTAAATAATGGTAATAATCCTCATTAATCCAAAAAACACTTAAAACTTTTTCAACATTTATGTCCCCAATTTTTTTTTTTTAAACATCTGGTAGGGTCTGTTTTTTGAGAAGAGATGAAGAAACCCACCAAATCTTTACTGAAACACTTATCTTTGATTCGTTTGTCAAACTGACCTTACTAGTTTGATTAGGAGGTCAAATGTTCATAGCTTTTATGGGTCTCCTTCCCTAATTGATCTCAATAAGCTGAGAAGGATTCATAGTAGATCTAGATTCCAGGGGAGCATTTTTGCTGCTGTTACAGCCCCATGAGCCACTCTACTCAGGTTTTTGGTCTGACAGTTGATAGGAAATTAAAGTTGGGTGTTAATTGTGTCTTTTTTTAGTGTTGCCTCATTTTTATGTTATCTTTAGAAATTACTATGGAAGAAAAGATTAATTCAAATTTCATGATACGTTACTAAAAACACAGATGTTCAATTGTTACTGTCTTAGGATACTTTCTGATAAAGTTGAACTGCCATCATTGATCAACTCTCCCACTGGGAAGTGGAGCACTTGGCCCTAGAATATAGTGTAATCATGGAAAATTTGTAACTACTGATGAAACCATTTAATGGTAACTTAATCAAAAGCTATTCTGGAGCACTTAACACCTTTTAAGTTCTCAACTGTTCAGGGTGTTTTGTTGTTACTGTTTGGTTTTGGGATTTTTTTGGGTTTTGTTGTTGTTGTTTTTAGACTTTTGATTTAGCAGTTAGGCACAGCACTGGCCCTGTAAAAACAAACAAAACCCTCGGGCTTTTTGCATGGTCCTTATTTACTATTAAAACAGTTTAAATGCAATGTCTTAATAATTTATTGGGAAAGTAGGAAGGCAAAGTAGCATTTTAAAGGAATCAGTGGAAAAAGAATGCCCTTTTTTCCCTCCCTTTCCCCATATCCCCAATATTTGAAATAAAGAGTTTTAAGTAGAGAGACTTCAGGAAGTACTCACGATCCTACAAAGCAGTTACCATTACGGCAATTTCGGAGGTGGATGGTGAAATTGCAGGTAGGGCACTTGAGATTTTGACTCGTGGGAAAATGGTCCTGATCCAGAGGGCTAACGCTGGGGCCGGGAGAATTAGCACGGGGGGGTGGGCAGTCTCAGCCGAGTGGGCGGGAGCAGGAGGGCGGCGGCTGGGATTGGTCCGCAGAAGGGGCGTAGGGGGTGGAGGAGGGGCTACTGGAAGGAAGACTGCACGGCCATGGCTGCAGCCGCCCGCGCCCGTGTCGCGCACTTGCTGAGGCAACTGCAGCGAGCAGCGTGAGTGCGGGGCCCGCCGCGTGAGTGCGGGGCCGGCGGGCGGGCGGGGGACCGGAGGATGCCACCGTGCCTACGCAGCCCCTCTGGGTGCGACCCGCCGGGCCCCACGCGGTCTTACTCAGGTTACTTTAAAGAACCCGGGGAAGGGGATCCCATTTAGCGTGCCCTCTCCACGTCAGAGCCGTGCGCCAGGTGGGGCGACATTGTAGCGGGGTGCCATGCAACTACACACAGCCGCGAGGCAGGTTGCACCCTGCTTGTTCTACCGTTAAAAAGGCCCAGAGAAGACAGTGTCTGGTCCCATGTCGTGGCAGACATTGGAGGGCTTGGCACGGTGACCAAGACAAATTCATGCATCCAATCAACACATTTGTATTGGGTGTATATTATGTGCCAAAAAGTATTCTAGGTGCTGGGGATACAAGGGTGAAAGACTCTGGAGCAATTTAAACTCTAGCGGGTAATTGGATGAGGGGACAGGGTTTGTGAAACGGGCCTGTGAACAACAGAGGGAAGAGAGAGATGGCTGTGAGAAATTACCAGGAGCTTCACTCCCTGGCGTGTACAGGGAGTCAGGGTATTAAATGTTATGACATGTCTGACTCCCCATCCAGAAATGGGAGGTATATAGTAGCCACCTGATAAATATTTGTGGAACGTACAAATGCACCAGTCAGCCTGGGAAAACATGTAAAATTTTGAGCAAACAGGTAGAGATAAGGGGAAAGGAGGGGGACTAGAGAGGAATTTCAACTAACTGGGAAGAGCAGAACTACTGGTAAGAGATGTAGTTCCAGGATCTAAAGGAAGTTAAAATCGTGCCAGGCACTGTCCTACATGCTTTACATATACTATTAATAGTAACAGTAATCCTTAGGACAACCCTATGCCATATTGTATTATTATCCTCATATTACAGTTAAAAAGAAAAAAAAGCATGAAGGAAAGGAATCTGTCCAGTGTCACACAGCTAAGCAAATGGTGCAGCCATAATCTGAACCCAGATATTCTAGCTTCACGGTCCTTGTTCTCAGTCCCATGCTAAAGAATTTGAATTATGTCCTGTAGATAATAGAAAGTTATGGAAGCAATAGTTCTCACTGTGAAACACTAATACTTTGAAATGCCCCATGGGGCGTGGGGGGAGGAATTCCATGGCTAAATAAATGGGAAACTGCTCACTGCTGCATAGTGCTTTTGGAGTCAGGATAATTAGCACACAAAAGGCTCTGAGAAGTCCTACAGGGTTGGGAAAAAAAAAAAAAAGATTAGCTGTATTTAAACTCTTTGTTCTAAATCTGTGTTATAAAACTTTTTATCAAGCAACACTATTCATATCCCTTGGAACCAGTGTCATGTAGAACATGTTTTTGGAATGGTTGTATGACAAAGGAGGGTGGCATGATTAGAATTATGTTAGAGCTTTCTGGTGGCAGTGTGCAGTGAAGGGGAAAGACTAGAAGTAATTGTAATGCTTCAGCTAAAAGGTGATGGCTTCAGGTACCAAGGAGAGGCAGCTGGTACAAGGGGTAGATGTGAGAAATATTGAGGAGTCCATTAAAATCAGCAGGACTTTGTATCTGATTAGTGAGATGGAAGGAGAGGTTGAAGTTTCTGGCTGGGGTATCAGGTAAACGCTGGGGCCATTTACCAAGATAGGGACTATAGAAGCATTAGCTTTAGGAGGAAGATGATAACTTACCTTAGGAAATTCAAATTGGACATGGCTCAGGTACATCCAGGTGAAGAAGACCTTCAGCAGGTAATTGATTATATTGTTCTGGAGCTCTGAAGTGAGTTGAAACTCACACACGCGTATAGAGGACAGTTGAAACTCTGGCTGGGGAAGCAAAGGCCTTAGCAAACTGTAAACCTAGAAGGGTTGAGAATGAGGTCCCTATGAGCAGCAATGTGTTGAAGCAGGAGTGGCAAAACGGGGCTTATTTTTTAAATAGGGTATGCATTTAAAAAGTTGGAGATTTCAGATAAAAATTTTTGGAAAATTGGGAAATGGCATCATTGGGCCCACATTTCATCTGGAAGGTCTACCAGGGCTGAGGTGAAGTGGTGGCCACTTCCCTTGAACAAGGCAAGCATTCCAGCTTCCTGAGAGAGCCTGGCATATAGCCCGCCACTCATTCTGCACACCAGCTACATAGCCAGCCAGGAGCTCTGACCTCTCATTTATATTATCTACCAGCCTCCTTACGCACTTGGATTTGCAAATGATTGGCACTTTCAGTGGAGGAAAAGGAGCCAGTATTAAAGGACAGGAACACAGCCAGAGAGGTAGGAGAAAGCCCAGGAGGGAAGGACTACACATTCACTGCAGATTTGCAGTGTTCTCATTCGTGGGGTACATCAAGAAACAAAACAACCTAATATCCCTGGTGTGTAAGTGTGTAGGTGGGGCAGGTGGGGTGGACAATAAACTAGTAAAATTTAGAGTATATTACAAGTTGATAGGTATTAAAGAGAAAGTAGAGGATGGGTTGTTGAAGGAGAGGATGCAATTTTAGAGAGGATGGTCAGAGAAGACCTAACTGTATTAGTATCTTATTGCTGCTGTAACAAATTACCATGACTTTGGTGGCGTAAAACAACACACATTTATTCTTTTACAGTTCTGAAGTTCAAAATCAGTCTTACTGGGCCAAAATCAAGGTGTAAGAGGGCCACACTCCCTTCAGAGGTTCTGGAGGAGAATCCATTATCTTGCTCTTTCCATCTTCTAGAGCTGCACTTTTTGCGACGGTAGATTGTAGCTCCTTCCCCCATCTTCACAGCCAGCAAAGGTAGCCACTTGCTTCAGTGGTCACATTACCTTTATGTCAAATCTCCTTCTGCCTCTCTCCTAGAAGGATGTTTCTAATTACATTTAGGGCCCACCCAGATAATCCAGGATAATCTTTCCATCTCAAAATCTTTAATTTAATCACATCTGTAGAGTCCCTTTTGTTCTATAATGTTCACAGGTTGCAGGTGTTAGGACCTGAATATCTTCAGGGTCTCAGCCAACCACACTCACTGAGAAGGTAACTGAGATGGAAGACCCATGGAAGGAAGAGAGAGCCATGTGGCTCTATGGGAAGGTACTTAGAGGTGGGGAATACCAGCATGGTTTCAGAACACGGTGACTGGAGCAGAGTGAGTGAGGGGAAGATGAGGTCAGAGATGTTGGGGGCCAGCAGGGGGACGACCAAGGATGAGCCCAAGGTGTTTTGGCCTAAACAACTGGAAGAATGAAATTGCCATTAAACTGGGGTGGGGAAAAGGCTTTAAGGGAAGACCAGGAACTGAATCTTAGGTGGGAGCTGAAATGCCTAATAGACGTTCAAGTGGAGATGTCAGGCAGCTGAATCTGGAGTTCAAGCAAGACAACTAAACCAGAAAGATAAAGGGGGAAATTGTCAGCATGGAAGGCACTCAAGACCATGAGACAAGGTGTGGTCACTCAGGGAGTGAGAGTGGAAAGAAAAGAGAAGGATCCACAGGCCGATCCCTGGGACCCTCCAGCATTCAGAGTCAATAGCATGAAAAGAACCTAGGCCAGGAGCAGCCTGGAAGCGAAAGGAAGAAAGTGTTTCCAGGGAGAAGGGAGTGGATAGAAGGATGCTGCTGCCATGTTGGGCAAGATGAGGACTGAACTCGGAACGGAGTGGTATATTAGCAAGGTGAAGGGCATTAGTGACCTGGTAAACTGTTAGTGGAGTCATAGGGCAAAGGTCAGTTGGAGGGGGTCCCAGAGAGAATGCAAGAAGAGAAACTGGAGAGAGCAGGTATAGTCATCTAAAGGCAAGGAGAGCAGTGGGGGCAGCATCAGGAGAGGGAAGAAGGACAAGAGAAGGTTGTTAATATAAAAAGGGAAAAACACGGGATGCCTAGGTGGGTCAGTCGGTTAAGCGTCTGTCTTCAGCTGAGGTCATGATCCGAGAGTCCTGGGATTGAGTCCTGCATCAGGCTCCTTGCTTGGCAGGAAGCCTGTTTCTCCCTCTGCCTGCCATTCTGCCAGCTTGTGCTCTCTCTCTTTCTCTCTCTCTGACAAATAAATAAAATCTTTAAAAAATATATTTAAAAATTAAAAGATTTAAACATTAAAAAGAGAAAAACAATATTTTATGTTGGTGGATAAGATCTACTGGGGGGAAATCTTGATGATGCAGGACAGAGACGATGATACAGTGATGTCCTTGAGTAAATGGGGGGGGGGGGGATGAGATTTAGTGCACAGGAGAGGGGCCGACTTTTGCTGAAAGCTTGGCCAGTTTATCCCTAGCCAGTGATACTGGCAGGAAGGCCAGAATAATCAGGCCAGAGCCAGAGGGTGGGTGAATGAGAGCCTTGCTCTACCCATGGGTTCCTCAGCTTCTCAACAGTAGAGAAGCCCATCAGTGGTTTCAGGCTATCCTAAGGTGGGGGAACCCACAGTCTGTTTCTCCCTACCCCAGCTCAGGTTCTGTGTCTTGGCACACCAGGAAAAGAGAGAAAAAGCTCAGAGGATTTTAAATGTCTAATTTATTTATTTATTTATTCATTCATTTATTCATTTACTTATTTCTTCAATCAGTATTCCTTTAATTGGTATTAGTTTGTGCCTGTTACAATGCTAACCATTATGGATAAAGTTGTGATAAAGGGCAGATCTTGTCTTGCCACCACAAAATTTACAATCTAGCGGCAGATGCAAACAGGAGAATGGTACCAACAATACAGTGTGATAATGGTTCTAATGGGGAGGGAGGCGTAGTACAGACCATAGGGGGAGAGTGCCTACCTGCGGCCTCCAGCCTTAAGGAAGACTGCCCAGGGGAAGTGACAATTCAACTGACACTAGAAAGGACACTAATTACCTGGAAGAAGGGGGGAAACATGTTCCAGGCAGAGGAAATAACAAGGACAAAGTTCTGGAGGCAAGAAAGAGAATGTGTGGCCCATTCAAGGAAAAGAACAAATTTTCCAGGAGCTCCAGAGGATGGACGGAGATGAGGGACCAGGCTAGAGAGATTAGCTGGGCCTGTGAAGCAGGGCCAGGTCTGAACTTTATCCAAAAAGCCATGGGAGGGGAAGTGGGGGGGCATCATTGGAAATAAGCCCCTGACCACTGTGTGGCACAGAGGGAGCCAAGAGAAGCCTATTAGGGACTCTCTGTAGTTATCCAGATGAGAGATGACACTGAAACCAGAGACTGGCAGAGGACCCAAGAGCGGTGGTTGGATTTGGGTAGAGAAATATTGGGGGGGCCTTGATGAGTGGTTTGCTATAAAGGGTGAGAGGTGAGCCCAGGATAGAACTCAATATTTAAGGAATGAGCAGAGTGGGAAAGGAGCTGGAAAATAATTAGAGGAAACCCAGGTGAGTAGGGAGTCCTGGAAGCCAAGGAAAGCATTGCACCCACCCAAGGAGGGGGTGGCCCAGTGTTCATTGCTAGGAGAGCAAGGTCCTGGGGGTGGGGGGTCTGAGAAGTAAGAATATAGCAGGAAAGCTGAGACTTGTTGAGACAGCAGCCAGATTTCAGGGAGCCAAGCAATGTGTGGGACGCAAGAAAATGGAGCCAGCAGACCTAGGTCAGGAGGGAAGGCCCAGAGAGGGTGAGCAAGCCAGAGGGGAAAAGAGGTTGAGACTTTGAAGCATGAAACTCTTAAATACAATGACAAAGATCTAGTGAGGGGGAAGACTAGGAAACACAGGATAGATGGAAGCCCCAAGAAGGCAAGAGAGGATGGGATTCAAACCACAAGAAATAGGAATGATTAATCAAGGCGGCCTCAAACCTTATAAATATAAAATAAAAAGAAGGGGGAGGGGTGTAGGAAAGCATGTGCTCCCAAGGCCCTGGGCAGTGGAAAGTTTTGAGTCTGGAGATGTTCTTCCCTCTGCCTCCACTTTCTCGTCCTTGGAGGGTGTAAAGCAGGGAAAGTTCTCCAAAGAAAGCCCACCTGTGAAGGACAAGGCCTTGGCCTTGCCTGCTGTGTTTTCCCTGCGGCAGCCTGAGAATGGCTAACACCGCTGGGATGCTCCCAGGACTCTCAACACTCGGCATTTTCAGCCGTCTCCAGGAGGTGGCAGCCTCGACTCATGGTGGCGTTCACACCCGCTTCCCATGTCTGCTTTGACTTAAATCTATTTTTGAGGTCTTGACCACCATTGAGTTGAACACTTTTCCTTCCTTCCCCACCTTACCCCTCAGATGTTCTCGCTCCAAATTTGAACGGTGGAGGGGGGGGTGTATACATTCACGGATCTACTGGGACCCCACTAGGACAAGGTTCTCTGGCAAGAAATAGAAACATAAAACACTTTGGTGATACTCAAATGCATAGCAACAGGAGAAAGGGACTATGCAGGAAATGGGAGGTGACAGAGACTAGGAAGGGAAACGGAGCCAAGGGTAGAGAAGCAGACTGGGAACTGAGAAGAGGTGAGGGATTCGGGGAGGAGAGGGTGATGGGCATGAGCACACTTCAGGCCACGAGGGAGCAGGGGACATGGCCACTGGTCCTGGGGCGGGGACCAGCACAGGAAGGCACCCAAGGGGCTGGCAGTTCCCTGGGGCTGGGCCCAGAAAGGATGGAGGTGCGAGGTGGTGACCAGCGAGGCCTGCAGGCCCAGTGAGGGCTTCTCAGAGGCCCAGGCCCAGAGTCTGTTTTGAGAAAATTAAACACCTTGAAGACAATGGGAAAATACAAGTTCCCTGGGTGGGGGCAATGGGAGGGGAGGTTCATTGAGTAGTTAACCTTGGGTCAATTTGGTCAAAGCTCCTAACCTGATAAAAGAGCTGGAACCTCCTAAAGCACTGAGACCCCATCTCAAACTTCCTTGTAGTCCCAGAGGGCTTACCTCAGCTTCCTGAAGACATTTACTGAGCACCAACTGAATAATTCCTGAAAGAATGATCCTGCAACACTGGAAAGACTCTGAGTGGACTTCTTGTCCATGATGATTTCTGGGTTTTCCTGCATAGCGTTTGCCAATAGCAACTACTTTGATAGAATCTCAAGACTAGAATGCAGTGTGAGTCACATTAAAGCATCCTATCTTTTGGTTTTCTAGTTTCACTTTTCTTTTTTTCTTTTCCATAGATGCCAGTGCCCAACTCATTCTCATACTTACTCCCAAGGTAATAACACATTTTCTGGTTTTAAAGTGGCCCAAATTTCCAATCCCTCCATTGGCCCTTATAATACATTTGGGCAAAGGATAAATCAAGGAAATCAGGGGATGTGAGAGGAAAGTTGAAATGGTTGCCTTTTCACTTGCAACTGGCAATATCTAGTTCTGATTATATGATGGGAGCTGAACGTGTGCTACTGATTGATTACATGTTTGGCTCAAGTATATATTTAATGCTATTTATGATGTTTTTCTATTTTAAATAGAATTATTTGCCAAAGCTAAAAATGGGGGCACAGATGAGATTTTAAGATTGTCTGAGTTAATCAAACACAATTAACAAAGATGAACTCTTTGGATGGTTTTAATATGTCTCAGGAAAGAAAGAGGCTAAAGAACAAAGCGGTTCCTAGAAAGAAAAAACTTGTTTATATCAATTTTTTTTAAAAAAGTAACATTCTATTTCTTAGTAATTAAAAATGACAAAAGTTTTCAGTTCCCACAAACATCTTAATCCTTCCCAACTCCATTGTCCACAGAGCAGCAGGAAGCTCATTGTAGCTTCAGCGTGTCCTCAGAATGTCACATGAATTACTGACACAAAAACTGATTTCACCTCTTAGAAGGAAAGGTCAAATCTAAACAGCACAGTGAGAATGGAAACGAGGGGGGCTGCCCATACAGGAAACTAAGCAGAACCCACAGAGAAGCCTGTTGGGGAGTAGAACAGATAGAGTGACTGAGGGCTTTTTCCTGCCACTGGTGTGGCTCACCATTTAGGAAAAGCCAAGGGACCTCCCAGTCATTAATGACCATCTGCTAGGTGAAAGCATGCCCAGCCTTTTAGGTCCTCATGGACATATGCAGAATTTTGTCTTCAGCTGGTTCTTTCCAATTCTTAGTTGATTTCAACAAAGAATTAGGAGTCTCCTGTTTGGGAGCATAAAATTAATAATTTAAATAAAGATAATCTCACCGTTTCCTAGGATTCAATTTATGTCTTTTCCTAAACTTCAGTAGCAAGAGTAATAGATTATTTCTTTACAGTGGATAAGGCAAGAAATTTGAATTTTGATTAAGGATACCCTTGCCCTCAGGAATCCCAAGGTAAATTGTTGTCTAGTTGTGGTCTCTTGTCCTTTAAAAAAAAAAAAATGGTAGTGGAAATTGTTGTTGCAGACTTTTTTTTCAATCTTATGACTGACCAGGAGTGATGAAAACAAGGATAAAACTCATTAAGTGAAGCCTTCTTGTTCTAATATGACAGGAAATCATTTCTGCCAAAACTAAAACCTGATAACATTACAAAGAAATATCAGTTTATAAAAATGTTTATTAAATCTCATAAATAAAACTAAATTTTTACATGCTTTAACTTGAAAAATATAAATTTCTTACTGTGATCATTTTTTCTCCACAGAAAAAATTTTAATTCAAACAACCGATCACAATTGTTATAAGAAATATAAGCAAGACTCTAATTAATGAATTTACTAATAGTTGTTCTCTAACAGAAATCCAGCTCGAGTCTAGAGGGGTTTTTTTTTTCCCTAGAGGATTTTTAGACATTGTTTCAAAAGTATATTTTAATTTCAATGAAGAAAATATTTTAAATAACTATTTTCACACAATCAGCCTCAAGTTAGCATTACATTCTCTTAAAATGCAAGTTTTAATTTCAATTTGATAGGCAACAATGAAACTTGAAAATATATTTTAGCTAAGGCTTTTTCTTTTCCCCTTTATAGGTAAGGCTTTTTAAGGGAGATGCTTATGTTCACTGCTGAAATACCAATTTACTAACAAAAACCATTATTTTTCCTTTGTTTTTGAGGCCTACTCTGATGCTAATTTCTACATTTCTAGCTCCTGGATTTGCACCTTCTGGGAAAACAACAGATTATGCCTTTGAGGTAGATATAATCAATCCATTCTTTCTTTTATGAATGACTTGAAAAAATACTAGAGTATTTTACTAATGCATTATTATCTCATTTGAAATCTATTAATTAGTGTTCCCTAATCTCATTATTTGATGAGACCCTATTTAGCAATGGGGGTAATGGAACTGGAATACACATCTTCTGATAACATGAGTAATGTCTAGAATACTGTCTTTTGTTCAGCCATCAAAATAGGACAGATTCCCAGTTCTACAAACGTCTCCAACTTATATATGTTGTATGTCACAGTTTAGTTTCGTAATTATAATAACCTAAAAGACGTCCAAGTAATCTTTTGAAGCAAGAATAAAGGATCAATGAATTCTGATGAATTTTTATCACACCGTAACTACATAATTATTTGATTAAATCTGTCTCCTCCTCGTTCAGGAGTCATAAATTAAAATGAAGGCCACGCTAAGGAATATATACTTTATTTTCTACACAATAAGGAACCATTCATTTCATTTATAGGTTTTTAAGTGAAACACCCTATACCTAAATCTTTTTTTTTTCCTCAGATGGCCGTTTCAAATATTAGATACGGAGCAGGAGTTACAAAGGAAGTGGGAATGGCGAGTATTTAAGATTCCTACAGTCTTCCATTATAAATGTTACATGTCTTTTAAAACAAATGCAAATTGACAACAATTGAGTCCTTTGTTTTTAAAAATGTACAGTTGTTAATTTGCCAGAGAGAGAGAATCTATTACAGTTCTCGGGCAGTCAAACCTAACTTACAAATTATTTTTGTTGTTGTAGGACCTAAAAAACATGGGTGCTAAAAATGTGTGTTTGATGACAGACAAGAACCTCTCCCAGCTCCCTCCCGTACAAATGGTTATGGATTCCCTAGTGAAGAATGGCATAAATTTTAAGGTTTATGACAATGTGAGGGTGGAACCAACTGATAGAAGGTATTATTTTATTGTTGCTATTTACTTTATGTAGAAGCCAACACATCTCACTGTTGCTTAAAACTTGCTCCAGGCCTTGTTTAATGGCGTGGCACTTTGTTTCTGAAAAAATATGACCTAACTATGGCTTTTATTTTCCCTTCTCCAAGCTTCATGGAAGCCATTGAGTTTGTCAAAAGGGGAGCTTTTGATGCCTACGTTGCTGTCGGTGGCGGGTCCACCATGGACACCTGTAAGGCCGCTAATCTGTATGCGTCCAGCCCTCACTCTGATTTCCTAGATTATGTCAATGCCCCCATTGGGAAGGGAAAGCCCGTGTCTGTGCCTCTGAAGCCTCTGATTGCAGGTAAAGACTGTGTGTTTGTATGTTTTGTTTTGTGGTTGGCAAAAGGCCTCAGGAAAGATGCAAGCCAGGAATATTAGGGTATACGTTCCCAAAGTTTTCTGATTTCTTCATTTCAGTGTAGTACATTGTTTGGAGAGAACAGATAGCAATTCATTGATGTTTAAAATTCTGATCTTCATTTATTGCGCAGAGACAATTTGGGTCAGTGGTAGGGAAGTTTGCAGATTTATGCTAGGAAGTTACTGTGTGAAGGAGGAGGGAAGGTTATCGTTTCCATATTATTAGATCCCTCTGCTGGCAGGTTGGTCTTCTAAACCTCTCTGCTTTGTCCCATTCTGCAAGCCACTGTGGAGTATAAGGGGAACATTCGCTATTATTTTTCTGGTGTTGACTCAACCCTTTCTTCCACACAATGGCTCTTCAGCTGACCTGGGGCTTTGTCTCTTCTCTGGGACATGTGGCCAACATGGCTGCATCACTCTGGGCAACATCTGCTCTGTGGCTGCCCTTGGGGACAGACACACAAATCCAAATCAGAATAGCTTGTCTGTCCCGCACAGACCTTGGGATCTCTTGGTCTTCCCTCCCTCCCATTTTATGGCTGTTAGCATATTACTATTTAAAGTTTTATAGTGAAAATGCACTAACTGGTAACTGGACAATATCTGTCTGAAGTTTTGTCCTCTCTCTTCTCCCCCTCGTCTGCCCCCACTGTGAATGGGCCTTGTGATGGTATAGGAGTAAGCTGAAGGCAGATGAACTGCTTTGACATGAATGAGCAATCAGCAGGGAGCACCATAATTGATGTCTAGCAAATGGAACCCTCTGGTGAAACTGTGTCAGCATCACACAGAGGGGTGATTAGTAAAGTTTAGAAACTTGACAGAACTACAAAACCACAGAGCCCAGCAAAGGCAGAACGTTACTGTGCTTGCTGCCAAGAAGGAATAAAGATGTCTTTAAGAGAAGGCAAATATGAATTTTCTAACCGAGATGCCGAGCAGCCCGTGTTTGAATGCCCAGCTGCAGCTGCGTAAGCTCGGGTGCTAGAGTTCTCAGAATTCCTAGCTGTTAACACAGAAACAGACATTACACATACATGTTAAACATACATACGTGTTAATACAGACATGGACAGCATACATGTTAGGCCTAGATACATGTTGGCACAGGCACTGACATCCTACATATGTGTTAGTAGAGATATAGGTATCACACAGTCTCATCAAAGTGCACATATATGTTAGACATGCCTACATGCTATATAGACATGGACACCATGCATGTGAAACGTGTGCATATTAATGCAGATGCTGCCATCACATATGCATATTAAAGTGCATGTTAATGCTGACAGGCATACTATTGCACATGCATGTTAATGCAGACACGGACACACATGTGAAGCATACGTGCGGATTAATACAGATACAGACCTCAGGTGAGCAACAGGGGCATCAGAGCTTCCTTCTCTAACTTTGTTCCTTGCTTCCTAAAGCTGAATTAAGTATCTCCATTGACCTTTATTTAGATGCATTATGTAAATTAATGTAATGTAATTAATGTAATTAATGTAAATTATTTTGTTCAAGTCCCAACTACCTCAGGAACTGGGAGTGAAACTACGGGAGTTGCCATCTTTGACTATGAACACTTGAAAGTAAAAACTGGTAAGAACTGTGCCCATAAAAATTGTGTTTAATTCTCTCTCACCTTTCAACTCCACCTCCTTTTCTTTAATCCTAATATCTAAAAATCAAGGAGTTTAGAGTTAAGGGAGGTACACACACACACACAAACACACACACACACACACACACACATTTTCTTTCTTTTTCCAACTACATATCAAAATATGAAACAGTCTAATAAACTTTTTTTTTTAATTTTATTTATTTGACAGAGAGAGACACAGTGAGAGAGGGAACATAAGCAGGGGGAGTGGGAGAGGGAGAAGCAGGCTTCCCGCGGAGCAGGGAGCCCGATGCGGGGCTCGATCCCAGGACCGATCATGACCTGAGCAGAAAGCAGACGCTTAACGACTGAGCCACCCAGGCGCCCCTAATAAACTTATTTTTGAGAATTACCTACAAAAGCATATTGCAATGCCATAATCTTGATTGGCCATTTCTCTGCCTAAGTTAGTAACTGTATGTCAGTGGTGAATGATTATTCCCTTTCTTGGACATCTTTTCAATATTTTTTTCCTTTCAACATTTTAAATCAGTTTCATTGAGACACAAATTTTATATAATAAAATGCATACATTTTTGAGAGTCAGTTTGATGAATTTTGACAAACAGATATACCCATGTAACCACTACCCCAATCAAAGTATAAAACATTCCCATCACTCCAGAGAGATCCAGAAGTCCCAGGCAGAATAAATTGATATTTGACTGCACATTTATAGTAACTTCTCTTTTTTAAATTAAGTTACATTAACCTTTGACATTATTAAAGATAATAGTAGCCAATACTTGAATTCTACCTTACAGTTTTTCAAAGATTTTACATAATATTTTCTAATACTAGCCTTACATCAGCTATGAGGGTTAGAAGCCCTATATTGTTAGGATCTAATAGAGAATTAAGAGAGACTAAGTGACTTGCCCAAAGATACATCGCAAGCTGCAGAACCAGGACCCAAATGGTGTGCTAGTAAAGCAGTTCTCTGGAATGTAATCAGGAATTTAATGGCCAACTTGTAGTATTGGTCAATTTCTTTGGTGTAAATACTCCCACCATAGCCAGTGACACCATTCAAACCAGCGTTGGGAAGAGATGTACACACTTGGCTCCTTCAAACCAGAAGGAGCTTCAGATCCACTGAAAAACCCAGGTTTCTGACTCCAGACCTCTTTCCACTGTTCTTGCTGCCTTCCTTCATGAGAATGAATCTCATCTCCTATTTTTAATTTTTTAAGAATAGATTGTTAACCTAAAGTAACTTAATTTTTTTAAATGGTGTCCATACCTTTCCCCTCTGTTGAAAATCCCTGTCTTAGGTATTGCTTCCCGAGCCATCAAACCCACACTGGGACTGATCGATCCTATGCACACCCTGCACATGCCTGACCAGGTGGTTGCCAACAGCGGCTTCGATGTGCTTTGGTAGGTACTGGTGCCAACTGGAGGGGCTTTTCCAGTCCCTGAGTCTATGGACAGTATCTTCTTGCTGAAAGCACTTGCTAAGCAGACACCGATTAGTGTTCCACAACCACGCCAGCTTTGGCTATCCTTATCCCCTTTCCTAGATGAAAACGCAGAACCTATAAAGGTTGATGACTAGGTGGGCTCCTGGGTAAGCCACAGACCGCTGTTCAGGATCAGCCAGGCCAGCCACGGCGGCTGCCACGGGCACACAGCAAAAGGAGCAGGCGGAGCTGGTGTGCAGCATCTCAGACCCACAGCACCTGCCTCTATGGCTACAGGAAGCAGGAAACGGCCAGGGCTGCCACGGCACGGAAGAGGGAGCAAACATTTCACTGAGTCAGCACTTTGCACACATCACCACCTCACTACAGCTCTGCACCACATGAGAAAGAAACCTGGCTTGGAGATGTAGTGACTTGCCAGAGTCATACTGCATGCTCCCTGGGCCTCAGCTGCGATGTGCTGCTGGATCCCTGATCAGGACACCGTCCACATTCAGCATGTCCCAAACTACCTATTTCATCCACTTGCACGTGCACATTTTTTCACATTCTAACATCTCCGAACTCAGAACACATCTTAAGATCTGTGGCACGACTGTATGGTTTTCTTCCTCAGTGGTACATTTTTTTTAACTAGTGCATCTTATAATGCATGGCATTTTAAATTCGATGAAATCTGATTCTTCTCTAACTTCCCCCACCACCTCACAGCTTTCCCTGAGTCCCTTAAGTTAGTGAGCAGCAGGACTTACTATGAACTTCTTTCTCATGCCCACACATAGCCCAGTATTTCCTACCACTTGTCCTGCTTGAATCTCTCCTATCTGCTCCCTCCCCTCGAGCCTCATTGTTCCCACCTTGGTTCAGACCTGCCCAAGTCTTGCTTAGACAGTTGCAGTAGTCTCCTTGTCAGACTCCCTGCTTCCATCCCATAGTCCGTCTGTCCTCCATAACAGCCTCAGCAAGATTCATCACACATATACATGCATGCACACACACATACCTCTGCCTGACAAGTCTGTTAGTGGCTTTCCACGCCTACTGCCAGAAGGCCAAATTTCTTTGGCCCTGGAATGTCCCCAATGCTCAGCTCTTTATCTGTTTGGAATATTCATCTTCCAGTTCCACTGGTGCATTCTCCCCTTGATGAAGCCTTTGCTGACCCCCACCCCCTTTCCTCTCCTCAGGTACAACTGACCACTCTGTTCTTTGCTCTTCCCCATTGGGTGGCGTATACATTCTAAGACTCTTCCATTTCACATGCCCATCTCCTTCACTGCACTGTGAGCTTGATGAGGACAGGACCATCTTACTCACTTCTCTATCTCTGTCCCTTGGCACAGTGACTGTCACATCATAGGTATTTGGTTAATATCTCCCGACATGGACACCTCATTCTTGCATTGCCCACAGTTTGAATAGATTAAGAACTATAAAGCCATAAAACCATCTACCAACTATTTAAAAAAAAAATTCCAATGGTTTGTTCAAAAGATTTTATCTGCTTCTCAGGTATAGAAGAAATTCTCCATTCTAAGACCGAAAACCATAATTCATGCCTGAAACCGTTCATGTTATATTGTGTTCCCAATGCATCATTGATCTAGATGGCTATGCTTTTTTTTTTCTCTTCTGCAATTGATTCATTAGAATTGATGGCACCCCAGCAGGTAGAGGAAATTCTGAAGCTTGGTTCTTGAAATAGCCAACCTTTAGTTTAAGGCATGTCAGAAAAAAGAATTGAATTTTTTTTCAGGCCAAAATGTAATAATAACAGTGAATGGTAAGTTTTACAATGTGCTGCTCATTATTCTAAGTACTTTACATGTACCGCCTCATTTAATTTTCACAGCAGCACCAGGAAGGCATAGTATTATTTGTCCTTGTCTTAGAGTCACAGGTTAGCTAGTGACTTACCCAGGCCTGCAACAGGAAGGTCTGTTGCCAGGATTTACAGCTGACCCTGGCGTCTGTGTTCTCACCCGCTGCACGGTACTCTTAATAGACAGTTCATGTAACTATGATCCTCCTTAGGTGATACGGTATTTGATCAGTGCAAGGTATAAAATGGTAAATATATTTTACAAGGAAATCATTTTTTAGATTCAGTGCTTTTCTTCATGACCCAAATATGTAAAAATTCAACATCATAAAGATTTATTTGCACTAGAAAGGGACCACATGTAATCCAGTAATACGTACTGGTCAAAAAACACTGTAATGCTGTTAATATAAACGTCACTGTTAATTTCTATAATAAGCAATGACTATTGTGGGCAAGAGTCTGACCTGCTGGGATGATGCGCTGTCATTATCACTGCTACAGAGTTTATCTGCCGTGGAGTGAATACTGAACATGTCCAAGAGAGTCTGTAATTTGAATGGAGGGAAAAAAGAAGAAGGTGCTTTCAATCTGTGTGTTTTAAATATTTCTCATTAGCCATGCCCTGGAGTCCTACACTGCCCTACCCTACCACATGCGGAGCCCCTGCCCTTCAAATCCTATCACCCGGCCAGCATACCAGGGCAGCAACCCAATCAGCGACATTTGGGCAGTCCATGCACTTAGGATCGTCGCTAAGTATCTGAAGAGGTATGTGGCCCAAGGGAGATAGAAATGGAACGGAAGGGGCGCCTGGCTGGCTCAGTCAATAAAGCACGCAAATCTTGATCTTGGGGTTGTAAGTTCGAGCCCCACATTGGATGTTGAAATTACTTAAAAATAAAATCGAAAGAAAGAAAAAGGAAGGGAGGGAGGGAGGGAACAAATAGAACAGGAAAACCACATTCCACCCTCACATAAAATAGAGCGTGCCAGATCCTGAAATAGCCTGAGTACGCCTGTTCATCAGATCAGTCAGTGGACACAGAGGAGCACCAGAGACCAGCGGTCTCTGGAAGGATGAAAAGGATGGGGAGGGACTCACCTGAGGTCAGATGAAACCTGAGTCCTTCAGTCTGAAAAGGCAAAGGCAAGGGAACAAAATATGAGCCCCTGATTTCTGAAGGATGCACCTAGAAGGATTATTCATCAAAGCCTTGAAACCAGAGCTCAGGTGAGGGCAGATGTCCTTTGAGATTTGGCTACACCAAGAGCTGAAGTGAGACCCAGAGAGGCAGATGTTGGCTGTGCCCATGCAGGCCCTGTCCAAAGGCACACACAGTCAACCCAGTAAGCAAACTAACATGACTGAATTTAAGAAATGGATGTGTAGAGTTGTCTGTCCCAGGAGATATAAAAAGCTTTCTAAAAGATTTCAAAGGATTTATGAATGATGTAGCTATGATTGGCTCCCAAGAGAGCAAAGATATACTTAGAGATGAAAGCTGATCCCTGAGACATTAAGACCTATGCAAAGCCAGACTCATTTGTACACATAACAGAGGGAAAGAGCACAGCAGGTTGGACCTAGATGTGAACATGGTGCTTCCGCTGGCCCCGAGCTGGAAGCTACACTAGAGAGGGAGCTCAGACTACATTTTGTAGTAAAGCAAAGGGAAGGGACACAGAACTATTTCAGGAGACCATCAGGGAGCATGGTAGCATTTGGCTGGGTAGACGCAGATACAGATAACGGTCAGCCAGTGTGTGAGAGACAGGCAGAAGACGTGGCAGAGCACAGTGGAAGGTGAGGGCATGTAAAGGACAGAGGAAAAGCTAAAGCCCCATCATCTGCTCTTTCATCTTGGTGTTCAGGGAATAAGAAACTAACACTGGGTTTGGAAAGGAGCCACAGATGCCTAACCATTCCAAATAAAAGGAGATAAAAGGCTGTAGCACTCTTACTGCATAACAGGAACCCTTACTCCAGGCAAAATCGTGAAAAGCAAGCAAGGGGTGGTTTGTCATTCTTGGCAGTCTTAGGCTTCTTCCCTGGGGCAGGGTTTCTAAGCAAGTGTGTGCAGGATGGTTGAGCTGCATCTGCAAGGGGCCTTTGAGAATTTGCTTTTACAAAGTGGCATCGGGACATCTAGAGCGAGCAAAGGCTCATCCTACAATAACATCCCACTTCCATGAGGATAAATATTAAAATAACATGTAGTTTCCACAGATACTAAAAGAGGCCTCCAGAGGGTTCTATTTGGGGCAGTGTCACAGAAAGAAAGATGGCTGGGCAGGCTGTGTTTAGCCTGCAGGTAGCCCCGGGCAACAGGGACTCATTTCAGAGAAGTAGTCTGGGCCCTGTGCATTCTGATTGTATGTTTACTTGACCATAGTCAAGATCACTGACAAATGAAGAAGAAGAATGAGTCTCAGGGCACTTTTCTAGAGCAGCTCGCAGTCCAAGGGTCAGTGCTTTGCTTCCCCTGGCACTTTTATCACATGAGCAGCCTGACAGCATATTTATTATGCCTTTGCCCAAAACCATTGATGAGAAAATATGTTTCCCTTCGGTTTTCGTTGAGAAAACAAGATGTCATTTGAATAAGTTGCCTAATTTTTCTTCCTACCAAGCAGAATTTCTTTTTTCACAGATCTTTCCCTAAGGCAGCTTTTTATTCAGTAGGAAATGCCAGTGTTGATGTAGGTATTTATATCATCCACAGGGCTGTCAGAAATCCTGATGATCTTGAAGCGAGGTCTAATATGCACTTGGCAAGTGCTTTTGCTGGCATTGGCTTTGGAAATGCTGGTGTTCATCTGTGGTGAGCGAACTTGAGATTTTATTTCTTCACCTAAGCTATTGCTTTTATTTTTAAAAAATGTTTATAACTTAGGACAAGTGGTAAGATCTAAATATGCTATAGAGAGAAGAAATTTAACTTAGGGTCCTGGAATGTTTTCTTAATTCAAATGTAATTTGTTGGGTCATAGCTTTTTAAGTTTTATTATTTTTTTAAAATATATTCTACCCCTAATGTGGGGCTCAAACTCACGACCCTGAGATCAAGAATCACATGCTCCATTGACTGAGCCAGCCCGGTGCCCTCATAGATTTTTTTTTTTTTTAGATTTCATTTATTTATTCATGACAGACAGAGGGAGAGAGAGAGAGAGAGAGAGAAGCAGAGGGAGAAGCAGGCTCCCAAGGAGCAGGGAGCCCAATGTGGGACTCGATCCCAGGACCCTGGGATCATGACCTGAGCTGAAGGCAGACACTTAACCATCTGAGCCACCCAGGCGCCCATAGATTTTTCTTTTATAACAGCCTTATTGAGATACAATTCACACACTATAAAATTTACCCATTCAAAATGTATAATTCAGTGGGCTTTAGCATATTCGTAGAGTTGTACAGCCATTACCACAATCGATTTTACAACATTTTATTGCCGAGAAGAAATTCCGTTCCCCTTGGCTGTCACCCATCAATCCTCCTACACCCCCCAGTCGTAAGCAACCACTAATCTACTTTGTCTTTATAGATTTGCCTACTCTGGATATTTTATATAAATGGAATTATATAATATGTGGTCATTTGTGCCTTTAGCTTAGCATGTTTTCATGGTTCATCCATACATGCATCAGTATGTCATTCCTTTTTATTGCCAAGTAATATTCCACTGTATGGATATGCCACATTTTATTTCTCCATTCATCAGAAGATGGACATTGGACTGTTTCCACTTTTTGGCTATTATGAATAATGCTGCTATGAACATTTGTGTATAAGTTTTTTGTGTGGATATATGTTTTCATTTCTACTGAGTATATACCTAGGAGTGGAGTTGTTAGGTCATATGGTAGCTCTCTGTTTAAGTTCTGAGGAACTAGTATTGTTATCCATAGCAGCTACACCATTTTACACTCCCATAAGCAGTGGATAAGGGTTCTGATTTCTCCACATCCTCACCATGTGTTGTGGATTTTTAAAACCTCAAATGCAAGAATTTTTTTCTCTTAATCTCTCACAAAAAGAAAGGGATCAGAATCCTTGTCAGTAGCCCAGAATTTATTTGTTTGATCAGAACTTTATTGGTATGATGCCTTAATACTGAATACCTGTGATCACTAAAAATTAAGAATAGGGCTTTGCTATGGAGGGTGCAGTGAATTCACCCCCAAACTTGGCTGCTGAGAGCACATATTGATACCACCTTTCTAAAAAACAGGTGGGATGCCTGCGTGGTGCAGTCCGTTAAGCGTCCAACTCTTGGTTTCAGCTCTGGTTGTGATCTCGGGGTCATGGGATCAAGCCCTGTGTCAGGCTCCACACTCAGTGCAGAGTCTGCTTAGGATTCTCTCCCCCTCTCCCTCTGCCCCTCCTGCTTGTTCTGGCTCTCTGTCTCTCTCTCTCAAGTAAATAAATAAATCTTAAAAAATAAATAAATAAATAATAAAATAAAAAGCAAGTGAGCAAAATCTCCCAAGAGCTTGAAAAATGTTTATATCCTTGGGCCCACTAATTTTAGTTCTATGAATGTAGCCTAAAGAAATCATATGATCAAAGAATTTCCTAAGTGGTATGTATAATTGAAAATTTTGGAAACAACCTAATTTCCAACAGTTTGGGAATGGTTAACTGAAATGCAGTACTCAAAAAATAAAATAAGGCTATTAAAAATAATGTTTTAGAAGAATAGAAAATGATATGGGAAAATGTTTATAAAAAATATTAAGTAACCAAAGCAATGTTTGAAACTGTATGCACATATGATCATAAACTAAAGATATGCATAAAAAGACTAGAAGAAACATCCTATAATGGTTATCTTGAAGAAATAGGATTATGGACCATTCTAATTTTTACGAAAAACATATACAACTCTTAAAAGAAATCAAACTAAGATGTTGGGTATTGTTAGAAAGTTACTTTTGAAAGCTACATGAACTCTTTCACATCATGAAAGCACACTAAGCAATAATTTTCCAAATACTGTGAAGCCCAAGAAAGGTCAAGCACATTCCTAAGTAAACAGCAATTCAGGGAATCAATAGCTTCTGATCCATCTCACGAAAGTGATAGGCAAGGGATACCTTTTTTGGATAAGTAATCATATGGTTCACCAAAATACTCTGTCTTCTTATGAATTGTAAATCTTTTGCTGAGTAAGCCCAAAGTCATCCAATAACCCACATAAAAAGACTTACAGACCATTTTACTATTGTAAAGCATTTCATTTACAATGTATTAATTATAAATATATAAGCTTCTCACAGTATATATCTTCTGAGTCATCTAGTAAACTATACTATTGTCCTGTTTGTTCACCAAAAATTCAAGAGTATATAAAGTGTTTTTTCATTAACAAATCAAACCCCACAAATAAAAACCATGATACCTTTTCTTGATAGCCTTTCGAACTACAATAATCATTTATGAGTCAACTCTATTAGTATGTAACATTTGAAAGGATGTATCAATTATCAATGGGACAGATCACTGGAGGGTCAAGCTTGCATGTCTAATGCAGCACATCTTGGCTCATAAAACACCCACGCACATCATCAGCTGTGCAGGAGCACGCTGCCAAGGTGGTGCCAAGCAAAACAGAAAACGCATGCCCTGAAGCTTATTAAAGAAACTTCAAAGTAAATTCTTGATTTCTTCAAGATCATCAGGTTAATCTACGTGTTTGGGAAGCAATTTCTGCATTTGACATACAATTCTGTGAGCATTTGAATTTGAACATTTCAGAGGTTTTGTTAACGAATACACAAAATGTCCAATGCAATAATATATTGTTGTATCAAAGAAAACAGAATGTATCACTTTGTGAGATGACTATATTGTCAAGAGACTGTGAAGGGCTCTCCCATAAAAGTATGTTTGTTTTGTTAATTTGAATTTCTGATAGCTGTATGTCAACCTAAGGACTTTCTTTCTTTTCTAGCCATGGAATGTCTTACCCGATTTCAGGCTTAGTGAAGACATATAAAGCAAAGGATTATAATGTGGATCACCCACTGGTGGTAAAATCATAATAAATTCTTTAATTAAATTTCATGTTCTTTGCAGTTGCCATAAATGTATCTGTTAAATGTATTTGTCAATTCTTGATTGCTTGGAGTACAGGCTAAAGTAATTTAATATCTAGAATATGCAGGGTAAAGACCCAAATTTGCCCCATTGGTCACCACATTTTGTTTCTCTTCAGCCTCATGGCCTTTCTGTGGTACTCACCTCCCCAGCGGTATTCACTTTCACAGCACAGATGTCTCCTGAACGGCATCTGGAAACGGCAGAAATACTGGGTATGAACCATTACTCATAAATCTGTGACCCGCATATGTGGAGCATTTTGTAGGTTGCTTCTGGGGATAAACCATAAAGGATAATAATACCCATAAAGTTGCTTTGGAATAGTTTAATAATAAAATGTGAGTGACCTGCCTACAGTCCTATCTAGCACTAAAATTCTGTAATTTTGCTTCTAATAATCTATTAACAATGAAATGGAACCAAATATTGCTTATGTTAAATTTGTAGTAATGATATGTCTCGTTTTCATTCCTAAGGAACATGAAACTCTTTACATAGTATTAATGTTGTGAATGGTTTTTGCTACATTTAGTGGGTAATAAAATGAATCTAATTCAGGAAGTAACAGTACCTTCCCAATTATAGAAAATCTAAACAGCTAGAAACTTTATAAAAGGATCCCAAAAGAAGAACTTGTTTTGCTGCTCTGTAGAATAAATAATGTCTATAACAAGACACCCACAGTGCTTTTTGAATCTCACAAGCAAAAAAAATTATATTCAGACTAGCTTTAGTGTTGAGTAAAAATTTTTGGTATTTTTCTAAGATGAGAACTCTTTCAAGTAGACTTTGAGAATTTGATTAACTTTCCAAACATTTTATTCCCCTACTTGTGTTTAGGGTAGGAAGGGAAAAGCTAAAAAGAAAACGTCATTATGCTCTTCTAGCTCCAGCCGTTGGGAGAGGTTATTTCCGAGAAGGTAGGCATGACCACAGACTCCTTCCATGTGTCCTGCTTCACCTCCACATCTCTCTCACACTGATGTGTGTGCTTTCGTAGAGTTCCAGGTGCTGGGCTGTGCTGGGAATGCTAATGAGAGAAGTCCAGGGTAGAGAAGCAGTGCAGGGACTTGATTTCCCAGCATGGGCTACTGGAAATATGGTGCCTACCTTAGCAAGGATCTTGTGTCCCTTTTCCCTTTGAGGTTGGGGCTGTTTTTTTTAGCCATTCTGGGGACTCAGATAGATGCCCGGTAAATACGCAGTGTAAGTAGGAAGGAGCCCAAATAGTAGGCTAGGTGTATGGTAAATGGGAAAGTCTTAGAGAACTCAAAGCTAAAATTCCAGGCAACCAACAACGTTACTGAGAAAGCAATTCCTCCGGTAGACAAAACTCAGGGTAGAACCCACCAATTCTTCCTCCTTGCATAAGAAGTTTTGTTTAATGTGATTCTGTACTTAGCCATTAAATATTTTAATTCCCTATGTAATCTTAGATTTTCTTAGCTTTATACCAATTTATTCTCTTTCCTACCCTCTCTTTTTTTTCTCAAACACTTCACAGGAAAACCCAGAGGCTTTGATGGTGTGTTTTATGGCAGCAATCCCAGGAACATAAAAACCTCATAAACTTTATACCGTGTGTCACCTTTCCACCTAATCCATATTTCAGCTGCCACTGTGTAATACAGACTGGTCCTGTCAGGCAAGGTTTACCTTCCCTCCAGCCGCTCTCCCAACTAGCCCCGTATCGGGTTCTATTTAAACCTTTTCCTGGATTACTAAAACAGTTCTTGTTGTCATAGAAGAAAAGGGTTAAAACTAATTGAATAGTGTGCTTCAGTAGGGACATAAACTATACATTCTAGTCTCCTTTTGAACCATACAGAGAAAGTGGCCTTAGACTCAACATGAGGCATTTTGGATAATGACTTATGCCACATCTGTTTGTCGAGCGCTTCACTTCCTGGCAGTGAATGTGTTCAACTAGAACAGGTGAAGGGCTGGAGTGCGAAGAGTCTGGGGACTCTCACTGCTACCCTGCCTGAGGGCAGAACCCCTAGCTCTTCCACACTGATGTCTCTACGATTTCATGTACTGATTATTTTTTTTAAAGATTTTATTTATTTATTCATGAAAGACAGGGAGAGAGAGAGAGGCAGAGGCAGAGGGAGAAGCAGGCTCCCCGCTGAGCAGGGAACCCGATGCGGGACTCGATCCCAGGACCTTGGGATCTTGACCCGATCCAATGGATCTTAACCATCTGAGCCACCCAGGCGCCCTCATGTACTAATTACTAATCATGTCCAAATTTCCACCCCTTTGCAACCTTCTTCCCCCTTCACCAACATCACTATTATCTACAGAGTAAATACTGTTTTTTTCTTTTTTTTTTTTTTTTAAGATTTTATTTTTTTGACAGAGAGAGACACAGTGAGAGAGGGAACACAAGCAGGGGGAGTGGGAGAGGGAGAAGCAGGCTTCCCGCTGAGCAGGGAGCCCGATGCAGGGCTCAATCCCAGGACCCCAGCTGGGACCATGACCTGAGCCGAAGGCAGAAGCTTAACAACTGAGCCACCAGACACCCCTAAATACTGTTTCCTGAGAGTCTTTATGTTCTTGGTTCTGTCTGACTGGTTCTGTAATATTTATTTAGAGGAACCCGCCCTGCCCTTTGGCCACGGAGCCCAAAATAAGAAGTTTTATAGCTATAGAGAAGAAATATTTCCTTCCCTGGCTACACATAATCCATTTTTGTCATTTTCCTCCTTTGGGGCAGTCAGTGTTGGACTTTTGTACCTCTATATGTCCTTGCCACACAAGGTGTTTGCAAAGTGTTGGTCTTCTTTTCCTAAGATGTTGCAATGAGAAAAGATATTGAACACATATACCTCTAGATGTCAGCAAATTCCAACCCTTGAAAGTTACATAAGCTTTTCTCCTACAAATGCTCCTTCCTCCTCATCCAAACACCAGCCTTCTTTTTTGGTCTCCTCCCTGTGCTTCATTTCCTGGCTCAGTTCCTCTTCTTCCCACCACACCAGGGGCGAGCAGCCCATTGGAAATGTGAAAGCCAGGTTAGCCTCAGCCAACTTCTCTGCAAAGGATCTCGGGGTTCTGCAGGCTGGCCTGGCCCATCTATGTTCTGCAGGGCTGATCACTGGGCTGGCCTCCGTGTGGAGGCAGAGCAGTGCCCTTGTCCTTGGTGGTAGGGAGGCAGCAGTTAGGTTATATATTCAGCTATCTTGTGACTGAATGATACCCTCTCTCTCTATAGTCAGCACTTTGTGTCTTCTAGGAGCTGACACCCGCACTGCCAGGATCCCAGATGCTGGGCCTATTTTGGCAGACACACTCCGGAAATTCTTATTCGATCTGGATGTTGATGATGGCCTCGCTGCCATTGGTTACTCCAGGGCCGATATCCCTGCATTAGTGAAAGGAACGCTGCCCCAGGTAAGAGATGCAGGGTGCCTTTACTCCCTTCTGAGAAGCACAAAGCTGCTGGGAAAACATGGTCCACTGGGGATGTTTTAGGGGAGAGGAAAACCCAGGGGTCCTCCAGCTTTCAGCTCTCCTCCACACCAGACAGCAGCTCTTCTCTTCCCCTGTGGGAAGGGGCCAGGCTCCCTCACCTTTATATTCTTCCATAAAACTGGCTTTTTTGGAGCTTTTATGATGTAACTGAAAGGATCTTTTATAAAAACTCAAGGCAAAAACAACCACATTTGTCTTGAGGTATGGCAAAATTTCCCTTTTTACCATTTCTGCTCTTTTAAGAGTCCTCTATAAAACAACCTGATGCTGTTCCAAAAGGACCACTAATATTATTTTATATTATAAGCGTTATAAATTCCTACTGTTTTGTGGGAAAATAGGCATGGCCTTTAAATCAATACTATTACAAAATCACTTTTTAATGTATCTGGGAGAGTATATTTTATACATATACATATACATACGTATCTGTGTCACTTTGGGTCTTATTTAAATGTCGCTAAAAAATTTAAACTGAGCTGCCAACTTTATTGGGTAGAATCATAATAGATGTAGAGTTTCCCCTCCAAGTTTCTCATGAAGAGAATTTACCCTCCCATTGCACCTCCCTTACCTTTTGGATCAGATACCCTTGTGCTGTAGCATCAGATCTTAAAAAGCTACGACCCCATTCACTGCAACTCACCATAAAATCGCGCCAGAGCCACGAGGTCTTAGGTTTTGGACCACACTATGCTCACCATGCCCAGAGTATTCACCTAGTCCTTCTGTCTAAAATGGGAAAGATGTGGATCACTTAAACACTGTAAGAATATGAGCGCAAGGCACTGCTACCCAAAGTTAAGGCAAGCATGGATCTATCGCTGACTCTGAAACAGAGTTAATGACTATTCTATCCACCCCGCACAGATTCCTGCTTACCCTAAGCAGCAGTGCTTTCCCTCACCCCACTCTGGTTAAATAAAGGCCCCACACTAGCTGCTTCCCCACTTGGCAACTGCTTAGAATGTTGAAGACCTCACCACTCACATAAGATGATACTTGAATGGATTGGGTTAATAGACTCACGTGTCCTCAGGAGGTAGGTAGGTAGTAGCAATGAACAAAGTAATTTAAAGCAGCAGGGAGTGGTGGGGACTTTGGTGAACTAGAAAGCTTATAATCCATCTCACTGGGTGTCTTTTCAGCTACAATGTATTATCCCCCAGCAGAAATTCAGGCCCCAGCGCTGAGCTTCCAGTTTAAAAAAAAAAAAAAAATCCACTGCTGGAGTTTCTAATTTCCAACAAAAATCAACAATCTGGATGTTTGTATTGTATTCCTTGATTACCCACTGTAGAAACCAAACATGGCCCACGGGCCAGCAGATTCCCTGATTTAGACTCAGACCCGGTAGCCTCAGCTGCATCCAAAAATATAAATGAATGAGAAAAAGAAACATCTCAAAGTGTAGCTGAGCTCTTAGGCCAACTCACAAACTCTTAGTTCTAAGCAACAAGTCCAAGGGACTAAATAGCCAAAAAATATGACCAACACAGTTATTTTATCCAAACCTACTAGACTATAAATTCCATGAGTACAGGGATGTTTTCCTCACCCGTCCTCGACTACACCGAGCACAGGCTAGTAAACGTGTTAAATGGACACATACCTGCAGCCCTGCAGCCCTCTCTCTTCCAAAGTCGTCTGTGCAGGTGAGTGTAATGGCTGAAGGGCAGGAACTTTTTTCAGAAATTTCCTCACACTTGATAGGACTCACCTAATGACAAGAAGCCATGAAAGCCTGTCCAGGGATTCAGAGACCAGAGACCAAACGGTCGCCATGGTTTTTGACATAGCCTTTGGCTCCTATAGCATGGTTCCAGTGATAGTGTCCGTTCTGCAGGAGGGGTTCTGAAAAGTTCTGCTTACTCAGGAATGTGTGCTTGTCAACCTGCAGGGATGGTATCCATGATTTTCAGATAAAACTGTGTGATATTCTTGGCCATTTCATTGCTAGTAGCAACGCATCTTCCAGCCATCAGCACACACTGGGAAGTGCTTACTGTTTAAATTCTACTGTGCTCAGTCTTTTACTTTCAGAAACTGTTCCAGATAGCAACAGATCCAGACTAACATTTGAGACCATCCACTAAAATGGCAAGTTAATCAGGTATCATATTAAATGCCTCCGTGCACATACCATCCCGGGGAAATCACAGATAGCAAAGCCTTAAACAGACAAAACTAATTTCGTAGTTTCACAAAAGATGCAAGGTAAATTAGATCTTTTGAATACAAGTCATCTCGGTGGAGGAGGAGGCCAGGATCTCCTCAAGCTGTATTCAAAAGGCAGCCCCAACATGAATGCTGCTTTTTTAATCATGTGCCTGTGATTGGGAGAAGCATAGTTAATTTTAATAAACTAGCACTAGTTCCATTTTGGAGTCCATGTAATTGAGTCAATGTGTTCTATATATGGAGAAGGCAGGAGAGATTCACAGGACTTTGGGAGGAATCTTAGCAATAAGCCTGTCTGTTTTGCAGATGAAGAACTACTATGGGTTTTTTGTTTGGTTTTTTTGGCAGCAGTGAACATTTTACAGGAATGCTATGGCAACTTCAGAATTTTACACATGCAGCAGGCTAATCTTCACTTATTAGTATCTACAGGATTTAAGGTAGTGAGATGGATAGGTTGGTTGCTGCAAAGAATATTGCCAGAAAGATTATTTATGTAGTCGACATTTGATAAAGCTTCTTTTATGTTCAGCAAGAGGGATCAGTTTTCTCTGGAAGGAACAACCGGGCCAGTATTCTTGACCAAACACCACATCCCATACTGATGGTGGCAACAGCAGCCCTGTGTACGGAGGCTTCCAACCGCCAACGCCAGGCTGCAAGGCGAGCAGGCAAGAATAAATTAATCTTCCAAGCGGGGTTCCTGAAACCTCTGGAAAAAAACATTTACATTTCAAATCAAAACATTTCATTTCTGAGGAGAGCTGTCTACCAAAATGAGCACTTCCACTCCCTGGCAGACAGGCCAGCCGAAATGTTATTTTATGAATGTGCTAAAAGTAGTAGTCAGGATTTATTTCAGTGCCCATGTTAATCAGTTGTCCCTCGGTCTTACACGTCTATAAATAATAGCGCATTGCTGAACACATCTTAATTCGGAGAGTTTAGCTTTTACATGGCATAGATGATATGAGTGGGGATAGATCACAAACTTTATGTCCCTGTCCTCGTTTAACCTATCCTGGGGCATTAGAAATGTGGAAGAGAAACTCAGATCAGCGTGGCCTGAAGTACTTCTGAGACTCCTGAACTACTTCACCAAAGATGAACAGGATCGTTTTAAGGGCCTCTGAGCTCATCAGAGAAGATTCTCTCCTGTTATAAACAGAACAATGTGGCAGGAATTGGCGGCCATAGCAAATGCTGAACTTTGGTTCTTGACCCTGCCGCCAACACAGATGTAAGTTTCTGCCTTGCTATGGATTTTCAGAATTCTTTAGAGTCTCTGAAGATCTGCTGCAGTGTAAAATTTTTGGTTTTACCCATACTCTTCAGCATGTTCCCCCATCCTCCCATCTGTTCATCCATCCTTCCTAATTATTTTTTTAATCATGGTAAAATATACTTAACATAAAATTTACTATTTTAACCATTTTTTAAGCGTACAATTCAGTGCCATTGAGTACATTTAGTATTGAGCAGTCATCCCAACTATCCATTTCCAGAACTTCTAAACCATTTCAAATAGAAGCTCTGCTCTATTGCTTAATGGTGAAATAGTAACTCCCCTTTTCCAGGCCCTGGGAACCTCTATTCCACTTTCTGGCTCTATGAATTTGCCTATTGCAGGTACCTCATATAAGAGATACAGTATTTGTTCCTTTTGTGTCTGGATAATGTCTTCACTTAGCATAAATCTTTAATGTGTCTGAATTTCATTCCTTTTTATGGCTGAATAATATTCCAGTGCATGGATATACCACCTGTTGCCTATCCATTCATCTGCAGATGGACACTTGGGTTGTTTCCATCTTCTGGCTATTGTAATGGATAGCCTTCTATGAACATTGGTGTACAAAAATATGTTTTAGTCTCTGCTTTCAGTTCAATTGGTTATATACCTAGGAATAAAACTGTAGGATCATAGGGTAATTCTCTGTTTAACTTTTTGAGGAACTGCCAAACTGTTTTCCATAGAGGCTGCATCATTTCACATTCCCACCAATAATGCATGAAGGTTCCAATTTCTCCACATCTTCACCAAGATTTCTTATTTTCCATTTTTTGGATAGCTATCCTGATGGATAGGAAGTGAGAAATCACTGTGGTTTTGAAGAGCACTTTGCTAATGACAAGATGTTGAGCATCTTTTCATGTGCTTACTGGCTATTTATATATCTTCATTCAAGAAATATCTATTCAAGTCTTTTGCCTATTTTTGAGATGGTTTGTTTGGGGTTTTCTGCTGTTGAGTTGTAGTAATTATTTATATATTCTAGTTATTAACCCCTTATCAGATCTATAATTTGCACTTTTCTCATTCTATCTGAGTTGTCTTTTCAACTCTCGAGAGTGTCCTTTGATGCATAAAACTTTTAAATTTTGATGTAGTCCAATTTACCTAATTTTTGTATTGCCTGTGCTTTTGGTGTCATATCCAAGAAATTATTGCCAAATCCAACATCATGAAATTTTCCTCTCTTCTATTCTAAGAGTTTTGGTTTTAGCTCTTAGATTTGAGTCTTTACATTTAGACCTATTTTGAGTTAATTTTTTTAATACATTCTTCCTATTTTCATTCTTCCTTTTACCTTACAAATACTTATTGAGGTCCTACTACATACCATGCCTTGAATGGGACACAAGGAAGAGGAAAATAAAGTCTCTTCACGCCCTCATGGAGCTTACATTTTAGTGAGAGAAGACAGATGATAGGCATCTAATCAAATATGTAAATAAGATACAAATGAAATCATTTCAGATAATGATTAGTGGTATGAAGGGAAACCTGAGTAATGAGATAGTGATTTCCCATGGGACAGTGTGGCGGGAACTCCAGGAGGGCGGTCAGAGAGGCTTCTGACTACAGGTGAAGGCAGCCACATTAAGATCTGGGAGAAGAGATCTGGGAACAACACTGCAGGCAGAGGGGAAAGACCCTGAGACAGGGTGAAGATGAGCATTTTCGTGGGACTGAGAAGGGATGGGGCTAAGTGAGATGAACTGATGGGAGAAGAGTCAGAGCTGAGGGGAGCAGCAGGGCCGGAACAGCGTGGCATTGGAGGCCACGGTCTTGTCATTGCAATGGGAAGTCATCAGAGAGCATTAAGCAAGTAATGACATGAACAAACTTAACGCTGGGAAAAAGTCATCGCTCTGGCTGCTGTGTGAAGAATGGCCTCTAGGGGGAGTAGAGCAAAAGTGGAAACAGACTTTCGGAGAGGGGAGTCAGGATGACTTAGACGCGGGTTGTGGTGGAACAGGAGGTGATAAGTGGTCAGGTTGGGGGTTTACTCTGGAGGGAAATCTGCCAAGTTTGCTGGTGGACTGAACTTGCAGAGAAGGGAAAGAGGAATCAAGAGAACTCCTAGGCTTTTCCCTGAGTGACTGGGGGGTCACTGCTGAGATGAGAAAAATGGGAGGCAGGTGGAGTCAGAGTTCTATCTTGAATATGTGAACTTTGAGATGCCAATATCCCCCTCCCGCCATTTTCATTAATTCAACAAATAACTGTCAAGCACCTATGTACTGTGTGTCGAGCACCCTAGTGCGCACTGGGCATGAAGAATGGGCACAGCCCTGCCTCATCTACCAGGTACGCTCCCACACAAGTATTTACCATAAGAAAACAAACCAAGAGACCCGTGAGAATGGAACCAAAACTCTGGCATATATCTTAATTTCATTGAGGCCCAGAAATTTGGACACGGGGTCGTCATTGTAGTATCTTTTAATCTCCTGTCCCACTGGGATTAAGGAGACACTGATGGGGGTATAAATAGCAATAGGGTGTGCCATCTTTGCTGACTCCACCCAACAACACCGGAGAAATTGAGCAAGTCACTGAATTCATTTAGGAAGGTAGAAGTAAAACCTTAGTTAATATTAAAAAGGAGTCATTGTTGTCCTTAGCGTGAAAGTTGATGTCCTAATGAAGTCTTTTTGAATATACTTTCAGTCCAGTTGCAAAATATACAGTCTTTGAAGTGAAGCACAACCTGGTTTTGTTTTCCTCAGCAGCACCTGCTGTACCTGGGACAGTGCTCTCTGCACAGAGAGCCTACCTGGCTGAGGCTCTGCCCAATGTTGTTTGGTCATTATCGCAGGGGTTTTGCCCGAGGTTCGTTTGGTTCTGTACTTTGGGTAGAAAGCTATTGCCAGAACATAAGGCAAAGGCAATGGCTTTTGAAAGCTTTGTGGAAAAGAGGCATCACTTGATGAACTTCTGAGTGAGGGATCAGCTAGTATGAAGCAAACAAGAAATGGGATTTTTAAAGATAGGACTATTAACAAGTCATTGAGTCTCACGGCCAAGTTAACTTATATAACCTAGTCGCTTTTACAAACTATCTTTTCAAAGCCCTGGGTAAATCTTTTCGTTTACTGTTTCAGGAAAGGGTCACCAAGCTTGCACCACGCCCTCAGTCAGAAGAGGATCTGTCTGATCTGTTTGAAGCTTCAATGAAATTGTATTAATATTCATTCTCACTGAAAGAATTACCACTGGCCATCACAGTTCTGACAAGAGAAGCCAAGCTAGCCAGAACTTTGTCTTTTCATCGCCACATATAACATACCTGTTACCAGTCTGAATGTGTTAGAAATTTATCCTGCAGAAGATTCCCTGATGCTCAAAGTCAAGCTACTTCCATAAAATAGTGGAAAAATACCCACTATCTCGGATCTTGGGCGAGACTTTAGGGATCCGTGTTCCTGTCCTAAACCCCATAGATTGCCACTGCTCTATTTATCAAATGAGCAAAACTCAGTATCTGTCAAAATGAGCAAAACTCAGTATCTGTCAAAAACATAAATGCACATATCCTACGCCCGGTAATCCCCAGTCTAGAAATTCATCCCATAGAAATACTAGCACAAGTGTGTTAAGAAATATGGCAAGGATAAACAAATAATACATTATATGTTAAAAAAGAAAAAAGAAGATAGCAGGAAGGGAAGAATGAAGGGGAGGAATCGGAGGGGGAGAAGAACCATGAGAGATGATGGACTCTGAGAAACAAACTGAGGGTTCCAGAGGGGAGGGGGTGGGGGGACGGGCTAGCCTGGTGATGGGTATTAAAGAGGGCACATTCTGCATGGAGCACTGGGTGTTATGCACAAACAATGAATCATGGAACGCTACATCCAAAACTAATGATGTCATGTATGGTGACTAACAAAGCTAAAAAAAAATATATGGCAAGGATGTTTCTGGCAGCACATTTCCTAATAAAAAATCTGAAAAAACCTAAATATTCATTAATAGTATAGAGATAAATAAATCATAGTATATTAAATAATGGAATGCTATAGTGCTATCAATAAGAATGAGATAAATCTATTGGAAATATGCCCATGATATACTGCTAAATTGGAAAAAGAACAATTATATATCTGTATGGTCTGATTTTTACTTATTAAATTATATATAAATATATGTCTATAGAGAGAAAGGATACACATCAAAATATTAAAAGTTATCACTGTAGGGGGCGCCTGGGTGGCTCAGTTGGTTGAGCGACTGCCTTCGGCTCGGGTCATGATCCTGGAGTCCCGGGATCGAGTCCCACATCAGGCTCCCTGCTCAGCGGGGAGTCTGCTTCTCCCTCTGACCCTCTTCCCTCTCATGCTCTCTGTCTC